CAGGAACAATAGGACGGACGACTAGAAGAGTCCGGTGTTCCAGGGGCCAGGGATGGGGTTGTCAGCAGGTCACCTGCCACAGTGAGCCACCAGACCAGGCCTGTGAGTCCTGGATTGGCAGAGTGCATGAGCAGGTGGCATGGGGCGGGTAGGATGTTGAAGATAGTGGTTGGTGAGAAGCCAGAGCAGCACCCAGGCAGCTGGCCAAGAAGTTGAGCTAAGCATCAGGAGGAGGGAGGGCAGCAGGTCAAAGAGCTTGAGGCTATGAGGGCTGCAGCTTCAAAGCTGAGGGGAGGGGGAAGGGCAGCGGTTGAGGGAAAGGAAGGACATGGGAGAATAGTGATCATCTTGGAGCAGATGGCTCCGGGGTAGGAGAAAAACCAGGCAGGTATCCCTGCAGGTTGGATCCCAGGTGGGTGCTCAAGTGGTTTTTGTCTGCTCAACTTGGTGAGACTGGAAGTAAGGCTCTCTGGTGGTCTCTGGGGTCACTCAATGGAACAGTCAAGTAAGCTGGGGGGCAAGCTGGGTTTGCAGTGACCCAGCCCTGTCCAAGTGTTTGGGTTCTCAGTAGAGAGCTAGCCTGGGAGCACCAGATTAGAGCCAAGTGGACTAAGGCTGCCTAACGTGGCATGAGGGGATGATGGTGATGGTGATGGTCACATTCCTGTTCTTCGGGACCCAGGCATGGCCGTTTTACAGGCCAGGTACCCTGCCTGTTGGCTAAGCCGTGTGAGACGGAACAGTGGGGGAGGAGCAGCAGATGAAGTAGGGGGAGGTGTTAATGGAAGGCCTGAGGCCTGGAGATGATCTGACTTGTGTAGCAGGGGTCAGGGCTGTCGGACTTAGGGCTGGGGAGGGTGTTGGACAGACTGGCAGAGAAAGGCTCTGGTGATTGACTGGCGTGTGGGTCTTGCTCCCGGGTCATGGTTCCCTCCTGCTGTTGTGCCCACCCCTGCCCTAGAGACGGTGGTGGGTGGGCCTCGTGTGCAGTGCACAGGCTGGCAGCAGCACACGTGCGCTCTAGCCTCCCTCCTGAAAGCACTTCCTGCCCTAGCTTCCAGGACCCCGCCTTGTCCTCTCGCCTGATCATGCCTCCCTTGTTTCACCCTTCCGTTTCTATGTCTCAGGGCCGTGGCCTTGTGTTTGTGTGTCTCCCCCAGCCTGCTTTCTGGGACTTGGAGGCTCTTAATCCTGTCTGTGTTCTGATGGCTCCCACATCACTTTACAGCCCAGCCCTAGTCCCTGGGCTGAGCGCCTGCTCTCTGCTTTCTCCTGTCTGTCATCTCCACCATCAAGTTGCCGGGGATATTCTTGTGAGAGAGCTCTAAGTTAGCATGTCCCAAATAATCCTTGACTTTGACTCCAAAGTGTTCCTTATCCTCACCATGACACTTGTTGGTAACCTTACCTTTACTGTGTTCAAACCCCAGACCTCAGGGTTGCCCTTAACCATTCCTTTGTCACATTGTCTGCTGTATCTGGAGCCCTGTTGGCTTTATCTTCACAGTGTGACTGAAGGTGGTGTACATCTGTGATCCCAGCTACTCTGAGTTTGAGACAGGAAGGTCTCTTGAGTCCAGGAGTTCAAGGCCAACCTGGACAATGTAGTAGTGAGACCCTGTCTCAACAAAACTAACTAAATACAGACAGTCCCCAAGAAGACCCTTAAATGGTTTATTACAGTGGTTCTCAAGCTTCCTAATGCTATGATCCTTTAATCCAGTTCCTCAAGTTTTGGTGACCCCAACCATAAAATTATTGCATTGCTACTTCATAACTATTTTGCTACCATTGTGAATCATAATGTAAATATCTGATGTGACCCCAAAGGTCACAACCACAGGTTGAGAACCATTAGTTTATAATATAGAGTGTACTTGAATGTCTTTGTCCAATCTTACATATTTTAACATCTATAAACATGTGCTGTATATATTGACCTGGGTATGTAGATTGGTGATACAATGTTTACTTCACACATACAAGACTCTAGGTTCAGTTCCTAGTGCTCCCCCCATATATTATTTACTTCATATAAGTAATTCTCCAGGATCTATAAAGTCTGTTTTAGAAACAGGATAATCGTAGGTGTATGGGTGTGTATGTTGGGCTGGCTTTCAGTGAGCCTGCAGAACCCGGGCCTTCATACTTCTGTGCGGCTGCTCTATGGTGGAATAGTTTTCCAGGCCCCTTAGAACGTCCAAAGCAGTGCCACTAAGGAATTGACCCAAGTGGAGGGCCATCTGTCCCCTGTATCTGTGCCCAGGGGTGAGAGAGATTAGTATCAGTTGGGAATCAGGGGCACTGGGTCTTTTTTTTTTTTTTTTTAATTGAGACAAGGCCTCATTCTGTGTAGCCCTGGCTGTCCTGGAACTCACTCTGTAGACCAGGCTGGCCTCTCCCCCCACCCCACCCCCCAAGTGCTGTGATCAATATGTACACTGCTATCCTGGCAGCAGTGGCTTTTGAGTCAGGAAGGTGATCCTCTCCAATCTTACCTTCCCATGGAAGCAGGGGAGGCCTCAAGCTCTGAGGAAGAGCCTCCATCCCCAGAGGACAAGGAAAACCAGGTTCCGAAACGAGCTGGTCCTCACCTGCGCTTTGAGATCAGCAGTGATGACGGCTTCAGTGTGGAGGCAGAGAGCTTGGAGGGTGAGTTGGGGGTAACAGCAGCCCAGGGGGAGTGTTGAGACCTCATTCTGATGGCTCTGGCCCTCGTTCCAGGGGCGTGGAGAACTCTGATTGAGAAAGTGCAAGAGGCTCGAGGGCATGCACGTCTCAGGCATCTCTCCTTCAGTGGTAAGAGGTATCCCCAGGAATGCTGGGAGCGGGGCAGGGTGGGCCCTCCGTGTGATTGCCGTGTCCTCCCCCGTTCTCAGGAATGAGTGGAGCACGGCTCCTGGGCATCCACCACGATGCTGTCATCTTCCTGGCCGAGCAGCTGCCTGGGGCCCAGCGCTGCCAGCACTATAAGTTCCGCTACCACCAGCAGGGAGAGGGTCAGGAGGAGCCACCCCTGAATCCCCACGGGGCTGCCCGAGCAGAGGTCTATCTCCGGTGAGTGGTTGGGAAGAAAGTCTAGAAAGATTGCAACTGAGACACTAGGCCACTGGAAGAGTAATCTGTAGACTTCATGTCAGAAGAGTGGACTCCCACCTACCTCCTCTTGCTGACTTCAGCCTATAGTTAGTTCTTGGCAACGCTGGCCCAGATCAAAAAACGGCTAGGCAGCATCTCTTGGAAGGGATGGCTGTGACCCTCCTACCTTCCTCCCACTTGCAGGAAGTGTACCTTTGACATGTTCAACTTCCTGGCTTCCCAGCATCGGGTCCTCCCTGAGGGGGCCACCTGCGACGAAGAAGAGGATGAGGTGCAGCTTCGGTCCACCAGGTATGCAGAGCATTTGGAGTCCTGGGCCTGGTCTGAAAGGGCCCTAAAGAGGGTGCTGTTCCTGGGTACCAACTTATATGGTATTGCTCTCCCCTACCAGACGTGCCACCAGCCTGGAGCTTCCCATGGCCATGCGCTTTCGCCATCTCAAAAAGACGTCCAAAGAGGCTGTGGGTGTCTACAGGTGAGTGGGGTTGCCGGGGGTAGGGGGGGGGTGTCCCTTGGGTGGACAGATATGTGCCACGATAGGGAGCTGCCTGGTGTCATGTCCCCCTGCCCCTGAATTCCCCATGGCGCGTTCTGCCCTGCAGATCAGCTATCCACGGACGAGGCTTGTTCTGTAAACGCAACATCGATGCTGGTGAGATGGTCATTGAGTACTCTGGTATTGTCATTCGGTCTGTCCTGACTGACAAGCGAGAGAAGTTCTATGATGGAAAGGTAAGTGCCATAAGGTTATGAGGTGAGTGTTCATGGGCTGACCTGCAGGACAAACAGCTACTGCCTTCCTCCCATCCCTGTAGGGTATTGGGTGCTACATGTTCCGCATGGATGACTTTGATGTGGTAGATGCCACCATGCACGGCAATGCCGCCCGCTTCATCAACCACTCATGCGAGCCCAACTGCTTCTCCCGTGTCATCCATGTGGAAGGCCAGAAACACATTGTCATCTTTGCCCTGCGCCGCATCCTTCGAGGGGAGGAGCTCACCTATGACTACAAGTTTCCCATCGAGGATGCCAGCAACAAGCTGCCCTGCAACTGTGGCGCCAAGCGCTGCCGTCGCTTCCTTAACTGAGGCCGTCCGGGGCTGCCCCAGATGCCTCATGTGCCCGCCCGCCCGCCCGCCGCCATCTCACCCTGGCCTGTGGCTCCCTAGTCTCTCAGCGTCGCCCTCCTCCTCTCCTGTTCATGGTGGATGTGGGCATACAGGGGCAAGAGCCCTGCCTCCAGCCCACCCAGCCATCGCCTCCTTCCTGCCCTGGGGACCCAGGATGTAGATATTGTACAAAGGTTTCTAAATCCCTTCTTTTCTATGCACTTTTTTATTTAAGAGGGTGGGGTCCCAGGTGGGAGTCCCCCCCCACAATAAAGTCTGTCAATGTTTGGAGAGGTGGTGTTTCCATGGTTTTATTATTGTGGTAGTTGTGTGTGTGTGTGTGTGTGTGTGTGTGTGTGTGTGTGTGTGTGTGTGTGCTGTCTCATGCCCATAGAGGTCCGAGGACTGTACCAGAGATGTAATTCAGGGTTGAAGGCTTACATGGTAAGCCATTTTATCCACTGAGCCATCTTGCCAGCCCTGGTCTACAGAGCAAGTGACTTAACTCAGAGAAACCCTGTCTCAAAACACCAGAAAAAAATAAGAAAAGTAAAGGAGGGTTTGTGGAGCCATCACAGCAAGTGTGCTAGTTTTTACCTTTTTGCACAAGTTCAGTACAGACAATCAGTGACTCCAAGAGTGGCCAGGTAATAGGGTCCTGTTCATATTGGAATGGACCCTTTACAGGAAAGAAGGGTGTCTGTTGGCTGGGGGCCCCATCATGATTATACTTCAGGAAGACCCCTTTAATGAGGATAGCAGACACTGGCTTCAAGGGAAACTTTATTGACTGAGTAGTAATCCCCAGCAAGCCCTGACTCAGCCAAGCTTGGAGAGCACCTGCAGTGCGTCTGCCCGCCCTAGCTGGGCCAAGTGTATGCCAAGCTGTCCCAGAGTAGCAGATGGCTCCCTTGCCACCACCATCTCAATCAGGGCTCTTAGGGGTGAGCGATGGGGCCGTAGTGAGTAGGCAAAGGTAGACCAGGTGGCAGGCAACCCGTATCTTGCAGCCAGGTGTCGTGTGGTACCATAAGCCATGATTCCGCTAGGCCCAGGCTCAGGGTCCAGCAGCATAATCAGTTCCTCCAGGACTTCCAGCTCGTCCAGGAGGCGAGCCAGGGGCTGTGAGGCCAGGCTCTGAAGCTCTGGAAAACCAGGGAGGAGTGAAGGGGAGGAAGGACAAGCTTCGAGGTCACCTTCCCTCCTGGGCAGGGCTGCCCCCTACAAACCCCAGCTTGAGAGCTGCAGCAGAGACGTCTTCCGAGTGCTCCTACTTCCCAATACCTCCAGGGAGCCCGGAGAGGACCAGCGTGCAGAGGTGCTGGGGTCTCCCAAAGCCAAGCTGGGACAGGGCTGGGAACGGGCTTTTCTCTTGAACAGGAGGAGCAAGACCACTGCCAGTATCAGGAGCACCACCAGCAACGGTGCCGCCAGGGGCAGCACAGAGGACAGGGCGGAGGTCTCAGGGATGGTTGTCTGCCCCGGCCCTGGGGAGCTAGAGACTCCTGTTTCTTCAGTTGTCAGAGGACAGACCTCCTTGGGAGGGATGGGTTTCTGAGGACAGGTTTGAGAGTGAAACTAGGGCCCCTCAGCCCACGCCTCCTTAGGTCCCTAAGTGGAACACCCTCTCCTCCCCCCACCTGATCCTCCCCCCCAAGGCACTCCACTTGGGGATTCTGCTGTGCTCCCCATCTCCTTCAGTGAGGCTCCCCAACTGTCCCAAGCTTTGCCCATGGAACCCACAGCTACCTCAGGCAAGCCCTGGCCCAGAGCCCAGGCGTCAAGCACCTTTCTACACTGCTTCTGGGTCCTGCTGTGGCTCTCCATGCGTGCGGGGATTGTGGCTCCGCTGCTACAGGGCCTACACAGCTCTGTGCCATCGGGGTTGCAATACCCAGGAGAACACTTTCTGAAAGTTTGTGCCACGGTGTTGCCGAGGTCATCGAGTCCGCAGTTTTCCGTAAACTCGTAGTCTAGGAGACATGGGCTCCAGAGGTACATACATCTGAGCACAGGCCCTCCCTCTTCAAATCCACAGGAGGCCCCACCCCTTTCCCCACCCACTCTACCAAGCACCGCCCACACTCAAGTCTACCTAAGCCCTTTCTCCCCACGCACAGGGAAAATCCGCTTTGTGTTCCCATCCTAACCTATCCTTTCTGCACAGACTCGGTCCACCCTCCCAGTTTTACCTGCCTAAGACTCAGCGCCCCTACTCCCCAAACAAGCCCCACGCCAGCCAGGCCCAGCAAGGACCTGCCACTTCCTAGGCCGCTTATCTCCGCACCATCTAGAGCTCACCAGGGCAGGCAGGGGGCCCGAAACGCTGCAGGCAGCTGCGGCAGCATTTGTTGTCAGGGTTCCAGTAGGCAAGGCGGCCGCAGAGCCGAGAGACTTCCCTTGAAGCAGCCCAGATCAGCAGTGATGCCACTGTGGCTGTCCTGAAAAGGTATCTGGGCCCCATCTCAGCAAAGCCTGCCACCTGAGGGACCACAGGACTTCCACCCACACTTCGGCAGCACTGTCCAGGAAATCCAGGCCAGAAGGAAGTGGTGAATGTGGGGCACAGGATTCCAGGGCCTTCTTGGGAGCTGGTGTGCCCCCTACCCAACTCCAGGCCCACAAGGCCTAAAAAGAACTGGATGTGGATCGTCAGATTATTTCTCCTCACGTACCTGCCTTCTCATTTTCATCTCTAAGATGGGGTAACAGAACTTGCCTCTCTAGGTGAAGGCAGTGTGTGTGTGTGTGTGTGTGTGTGTGTGTGTGTGTGTGTGTGTGTGGTGATCAATCTACTAAAAACATCACAGTAGTCAGGCGTACTGTGTACACCCTTAATTCCAGCACTTGGAAGGTAAAAGCAGGAGGATCTCTGAGTTTAAGATCAGCATGGTCTACATGGAGAGTTTCAGGCCAGCTACAGTTACACAGTGAGACCCTGCTTCAAAAGCCAATTTAAACAAACCACAAAATGAACACCACAGTACCTAGAAGATGGCAAACTCAATTCAATGGGTTAGGTACTGGTGCCTTCATCTCAGGGTGGTGTGGTAGGCTCCAATGTCCAGGCCTAACCTCCTGCAGACTCTTACCAGTCCCCAACCACCTCTCTTCCCCTGCTTTTCTAATCCCCATCTCTATTAGGAATCCTCCAACCTGCCACCTCTCCCTAAAAGACACCTAGAATGGACAAGCCAAGGTCTTGGGTACAGAAGTAGTCCTGACTTACCGGTGCAGACCTAGACCCCAAGCCTCCTTTCACAGCTGGTTCCAAGATGCTCTACTGAGGCTGTGGCTGGTGTGCACTTTTTCTTAGATGTGGGGGTAGAAGGAAACCACAGACTTTTGTTAGACAAACTTCCTAAGCTTTATTAGAGAAGGGATGGGAGGAGGAAGTTACTCTGTTGAACAGATTGTATCATGAAGCTCTGAAGCCTGGGGATGATGGAGCTGGAAAGTGAAGAAGGCTTTGAGAAGGGATCCTGCACAGGAAGAGGCGAAGAGCACCAGTCTCAGAAGCGACCATGCCGGTGGTCTGGGGAACGACGTCGGTTTCTTTCTCGGGGACGGTGGCCTGTATGGGATCTTGGAGGTGACCTGGGAAGTGGGAAGAGGAGTGGACAGAGATAGGTAGGAATAGTTAAGAGTGGCATAAAGATTTTTCCAGGCCTGTCTCTCAGGGATAGGATGGTTGTTAATGTCATTTCAGGATTGGTACTCAGGGGTGGATATTCAGGCTAGTCTTGGGTTTGGGGTTCACACAGTTTTGGGCACTGAGACTAAGGTACTACTCTTCAGGCAGGGCTCAAAACTATATTTAGAGCACAAGAGCCTTGGAATGGTATGCCTACAAAATCAGAATCAGATTCCTTTCAGGGTAGAGGAGAACTTGGCAAGCTGGACCTGAGGTACCTATGCCTGGGTCCTCGCCCATAGAGCTGCCGGCGCAGGTTCCGGGATATGGGTCGCAGGTGCATGAAGTTGCAGAAGCCACCTCGGGTACATTCCCTAAGGACAGACAGAAGAGGCCACCATCACTGACAACCTCCTACCAAACACTCAAGCGTCTGAACTCTGATGCGCAGCCCGCTCTTCACCACCATACCCCATCTCATACTGCCGGCAGCAGGACTCTCGGAAGTCGGTGACGGGAGACAGCTCGGCATGCACAGCCTGTCCGTTGAACCAGCGGTTATTGAGTTCGGCCACAGCCCGCTCTGCATCCTCCTCCCGGCGGAACTGAGGGGAAAGTGGGTGACCATGGGCTGCGGAATTCAAGATCTTCAGGGGACTAGCCAGCTCTGAGGCTGGTCTCGACTTAGCGACAGTCCTCAGGTTGTGAGGGTTCAGTGGTGGCCACCGGGCACTGAAATATTTCCACTTCTGGGCTCTAAGCAGGGGGCAACAGGCACCTTAACGTAGACGTTGCCCACGAGGTGGTCTCCGAGGTTGTCACACACATTCATTTCTTCAATCTCTCCGTACTTCTCCTGCAGTTCCGTGAATACCTCCTGCAGGAGACGGAAAGGGCTCAGCTAAGATCTGGCACACAGGAAACCCAGCCGCCCCGGCAACTCTCACCTCAAAGAAGTTATCGTAGTGTTCTTGCACCTCCACATCGCTCACGTGACCTGGAGGCAGGGCAGAGGGAGAAATGAGGGCGTAGACTGCTAGGGGCTGTCCGCCCAGCCCCTGAGCTGTCGGGTTTCTTACTCACAGTGAGATCCATCTGCGGTTTGGGCTGTGTTCTGTGGATTCCGGTACAAGTTGAGGAGCACTATGGTCTGAACGAAATTTAAAAGAGGCCTGAGCTTAGTAGGCAGGGCTGCATGCAGAGTGGGTGTGAGACTGGGGAGTGAGATGGGAACTACTGGAGTTTTGTCGGCGAGGCTTGCTCCTAAGCAGCTACCTGGACAGCCGAGGGGCGTGGTCTGTGCACGGGGAGGCGTGGCCCAGCCCCTGGAAGAAGGGTCTACTCCGAGGGCCAGGTCAAAAAGCAAGAGGGAGAGGATTGGCTTTAGGAATCCGGAAGAGGCGGGACCCCGGGGTGATGGGCAGCAGATGAAGCGCGGGGAGGCATGAGTCTGGGTCTCACCTGGCTGAAAGTCGGTTTGTTGTGGAGTCGGGAGCACCGGTCCCCGTGCCGGCAGGCCCCAATCTTAAAGTAAAAAGAGCAGTTAACCCTGGAAGAGGTGCAAAGACAGAGGTAAACCGGGGGCCGGGAAGGCCGGGCATCCCACGAACACTGCCCTGTCCGCCCAGCCCACGGGGACCCGAGTGCCCCGGCTCCCCGAGAGGCCACTCCCTTCACCATTCTCACTTGTCCTTCTCAGTCCCGAATATCGAAGCTAAATATTCAGCCATTTTTACCCGAACACTCCAACGCTCCTGCTCCTTGCGTCACTTCCGTGGCTCAGGAGCGTTGGGAAGTGTAGTTTGCCCCTGCCTGTGGCGTGACTGCGCACGCGTGTTGGAGGCCAGCTTGCCTTCCGCGACGATCCGTGCGCAAGTTTCCTAGCAGCGCATGCGTACAACGTAGCCTCCAGGGGAAATTACAAAAAAAAAAACTACAAACTCCACGGAAACCTTCGGCGTCTCCCGTGAACGACCGCAGTTAGAAACAGCAAAGGGACCCCGGGCAGGAGGGATAAACTCCACTGGTGAGTTGTGAGTTGTCTTCGCCTGTTCGAGGCAGCGGAGGTGCCCTGCTCGTAGCAAACCCCCCTTTATCTAATTTGTCGTAATAGGGGCGTGGTTGGTCGGGAGCTTGCGCCTGTCGCTTGTCTTGGTCTGCAGACCCTTAGGACCGCCGAGCTCCAGCGCAGCTATGAACTTGGAGCGGGTGTCCAATGAGGAGAAGTTGAGCCTGTGCCGGAAGTACTATCTCGGTAAGGCCGATCCCCCTAGAGTTTCGGGTAATAGTGGCGACTGGACTGGAGCACCCCGAGGCTAGAGGACATAGGGACCTGGATTCGTGGCTCTAAGGGGGAGCGTCGACTGTGGTCCGCGAGAAGAGAGACCTCAGGGAGAAGCAAGCTGAGGCCTCAGTTTCTGAGTCCCAAGAGAGAAAGAATGAACGCCTGGGTCCAGAGAAGGAATTCCTGGATCTGTAGACGAGAGGCATAACCCCGGAACCCCTAATAGCGGAAGGTCTCCAGTTGAACGTGGGAGAGGATCTTCCAAATGGGCCTTCTAAGGCGGGGGTTTGGGAAGGGTCTTTATTGCCTTGTGACCAAGTGTGGGTATTTTTTTTTTTCCCTAGGTGGATTTGCATTCCTGCCTTTTCTTTGGTTGGTCAATATTTTCTGGTTCTTCAGAGAGGCCTTCCTTGCCCCAGCCTACACAGAGCAGAGCCAAATCAAAGGCTGTGAGTTCTTGGACCCCAGGGAGGTCTGCGGCAGAGATACAAGTGCTGGCCTGCAGGAGGCCAATCCTTCTCACTCTTGTTCTTCATTATAGATGTTTGGCGCTCAGCTGTGGGCTTCCTCTTCTGGGTAATTATTCTCACCACCTGGATCACCATCTTCCAGATCTACCGGCCCCGCTGGGGTGCTCTTGGGGACTACCTCTCCTTCACCATTCCCCTGGGCACTCCCTAACAACTCCACAAGCTGGTTGGTGATCTTGTCTTTCTCCCAGGATGGGCGTCTTTGCTCTAAGTTTTTTCTGAAACCCTGAAGACTGTCTGTCCCCCATTTCCCATCTGCCCCCAATAAATGACCCTAACTTTAAATATTGACTTCCTGGGATCCTTTGGAGGTAGAAGCATAAACGATTGCCTGCATTGAAAAGCACTTACCGAATGTGTTACGTGTTAGGCTCAGTGCTTCACACATTTGTATGAATTTTTATTTCATTGACTACCACCAGACCCTTCTGAAATAAGAACTTTCCTGTTTAGGAATCCTGTCTTACAGATGAAGGAGAAAAGAATGATGCTCCCACTTCTAGGGGGTGCTATCCTGTACTGGTAGTTGTGAATTTAAAAATAACAGCTTTCTTAGCCAGGTGGTTGTGGCACATGCCTTTAATCCCAGCACTCAGGGGGCAGAGGCAGGTGGATCTCTGAGTTTGAGGTCAGCCTGGTGTACAAAGCAAGTTCTAGCCAGGACTGATACACAGAGAAACGCTGAGGGGCGTGTGTGTGACAGAAACAACACCCCTCCCCGACTTTCTTGACTGGGGGTGTAGTTTAGTGGTGTAGTGTACTGGTAGTGCACCTATTTAGCATGAGAAAGATGCTAGGTTCAATTCCCAGCATGACAAACCAAACAAGATACTTAGTATTGTGTGTCTTAGTATTGTCTGCCAAGGAAGAATTCATCTGAGCCAAGACTCTAGAGGTGTCTACAGCAAGAGAAATATCTATGAGCTTTCTTAGGAAAGCTTCCTTGACACTCCTATTTTTATTCTTTATTTATTTTTAAGTGTGTGTGTGTACGTGTGTGTGCATGCGCACAGGTGTCTGGAGGCAGAAGGCATCTTATCCTTTGGAAGTGCTGTTGCAGATGGTTGTGAGTCACCATGTGGAAATCAAACCCTGGTCCCCTTGACCACTGAGCTTAACCAGTGAGCCATCTCTCTGGCCCCTTGATCTTCCTATTTAAAATTTCATGATTTTGGTGACTCATATCTATAATCCCAGCTCTTGGAAGCAGAGGCATGTGGATTTCTGTGAATTCCAGGCCAGCCAGAGCTGTATACTGATATCCTGTCCCAAAACAATAAAATAGAATTTCAACAGAGGGTCTGGTGAGATGATCTGGGTAGGGACACTTGCTGCCAATCCTGGCCTGAGTTTGATGCCCAAATCTCATAAATGGTCCTCTGACCTCTACAGGTGTGCCATGGCAGTGTGCCCCTCCCACCCCCACACCTCCAAGTAAACAAGCAAACGAAAAAACACCCAGCAGAGGGTGGTATTGTTCAAAGCCAGCTTGGATTACCTATATAGTTTCAGGCTAGACTGAGCCAGAGTGAGGCAATCAATCAATAAATAATGATATAATAAAATCTCAGTCCCTACCTTGATATTACCCATGACTATTTTAGGGCATATTTTCGTTCTTACTACATTTCACTTAGAATTTTCGGTTTATTTACTGACCATCTTCTATTCTCTACACGATAAGCCACATCAGGGCAAGGCTAAAACATCGCCTGTTTTATTCACTGCAGCGTCCCCATGTCTGGATGAATACCCAGCACTCTTCATATTCAAATGAAAGAGATTTTGCTCAAAAAAGACAGCAGCAGGTAACTGATTCCTAGCGAGCTCCATAAGAAAGGAGCCCGTCCAACTCCAGATAGGTCTCCTGTTAGGGATCTCGGTGACAACCGACTATGTTAGCTCAAAGCTATAAGTGGGTGTATGGACGGTACTAAAACATACCACCACAAGTCCCGAGAAGCCTTGCCATACCCCACCCTTTTTGTTCCCACAGTGCTCCGCGCGGTGCAGGCGGTGTTACCGCCTTGTTGCGCCTGGGAAGTTTGAATTATACGACCCCCGCCCTCCCCAGTTGCCTGGGTTGTCGTTGGTTTGTTTCCGGAAACAGGGCCTCGGGAAGGTGGAACTTAAGGCTGGGGAGCCAATGGCACAAGTTGTCAATTGGCCAGCGAATGGAATTGACGTTTTCATTAACTAATGGGAAACAGCGGCTGCCGAAGGGCCCGCCTACAGAAGGGAAAGAAGGGAAGTGGCGGCCCAGGCAATCGCGACTGGAAGGTGCTCGGCCCCGGGACCAGTGGTGCCCAGACTTACCTTTGACCTTTTCCTGCCCACTTCCCGCCTTGGCTTGTGAATCTTGCCTCCTCTAAGTTTTTCTGATCCAGCGAATTAGACCTGGACCCGAACCATGTTCCCGGTAAAGGTGAAGGTGGAGAAATCAGGTGAGGACTGGTGATCCAGGCACCCGAGAGACATGGGTTATCGCGGAAAAGTGAACTGTGTGACATCTCTCTGCAGCCCATGTGACAGACGCACGGAGCATGGCCACCCTCAAGCCATCCCGGGCTGTTCTAAGTAGCTTTGAGATTGAATGGTGGTGGTTCCGGCCCCGTGATGGTAGTAAAACCCCGGGGTCCTGAGCCCCTAACTCTAAGAAGGGTCCTTTCTTGGTCTACTTCAGTTTTCCTATTTCTGGCAGTGGTCATGAATCAGCAAATGGGGTGTGACCCTGAAATATAGGGAATCAATTCTCAATTGCTGTATTCAGTAACCTTAGGGTGTAGGTAGTGTGACGGATGAGAAAACGGAGCCTCGGGGAGCCTAACAGGAACCCTAGAATGGCATGGTGAAGGGCAGTGAGGAGCGGGTGCGGAGAGAAAAGGTGGTCCGTAGTAAGTAATGATGTGACCTAAAACAAGACAGGGGTATAGGCGGACTTCTGTGGCGGACTGTCGGCCCAGCATGCACCGGGCTCCAGGCTCCATCCACAGACCTGAAAAATAAGTAAAACCAGACCCTGGTGGGGAAGCCCTGTAGTAACAGCTAACCAAACTAGACAATAACTGGATCCCAGGACTTCATGGTCTGCCTGGGCATCATGAGACCCACATGATAGGAAAATACACAAGGTGGGAGGGAGGAAGTGGCTGTGTGAGGGAGTGGCCAGTGGGGCCGAGGGAGCAGCAGGGAGGTGAGGGTGGCTGGGGCGGTGAAGAGATAGAGCAAAGAGGTGATGGGGAGGAGGACAGATCTGTGGGTCCAGGAAGGGATTGTTGACTTTTCCTTGAGGGAAATGGGTGGTCTAGGGAGGTTTTTGAACCAAGGAGTGAGTTGGTAAAGGTGTACCACAAAATAATAATAATAATAAAAAAAAAGCCCAAACCCATACAGTCCACTAACAACAAAACTTGAGTGAAATAGTGGAGGGGCGGGCAGTTCGTGTTGGCAAATGCCTTTAATCCCAGTACGTGGAAGGAAGAAGCAGACCGATCTCTGAATTCAGGGCCAGTTTGGTCTAGTTAGCAAATTTCAAGCCATCCCAGGGCTACCTAGTGAGAGATGCTATACCTAAAAAAGCGGAGGGAGCCTCACTACAACTGTGTAGGTAGGACAAGGGTAAGCTTGGAAAGACCAGGCTGAGGACAGACCCTGTTTTCTGGGGTCAGGATTGTGGAATCCTGAAGAGTTCTATGCTGGGGTTGGTTGTCTGTTTTTATTATTTTTCATTGTTTTGCTTACTGTTTGAGTCAGGGTCTCATGTAGCTGAGGCTGGCCTTGAACTCTTTATCTCCTGCCTCAGCATCCAAGGTGCTGGGATAGCAGACATATGCCACTATGCCTAGCCAGGCTTGGCTTTCTTTTAGGAAGGTTCTTTTGTTGCATCGTGGAAAGTGGATCGGAAGAGGAGAGGAGCTGAGGCTGGGAGCTGAGCGGGAGGAGAGGGCGACGAGGGGAGGGAAGACATGGGCAGACACTCAGGACGCCAGGTGGGCTGAGACCAGGACGGGAAAGGAGTATCCCTGGTGGGTCCAGGAGCCTGTGGACTGGCGGGTCACTCTTCACGGTGTGGATTCAGGAAGCAGGGGTAGATTTAGAGAGAGAGACCTTTTAGAGGGCCCAGTGGAAGGACCCTAAGGGCTGTCCGTGGAAGACATCCAGATCACAGATTCTTAGTTTGGTGTTGTGTTGGGAGAGAAGCTAACAGTATGGAGCAGTGGAAGCAGCCTCACTCTTGGCCCCTGCCTGAGGCTCAGTTGCCCAGTTCTGTCTTCATCCTGTCTCTCCACTGAGTGGCACTAAAGCTGCTTTCAGGGCACCTGGACCAGACCATAGGATTGCCACAGAGGATGTGGGATGTGCACAGAGGGCTGACTCCTGCTCTGCACCTTCTGCCCTCAGAGATGGAGATGGCCAAAGCCCGGAACCAGCTGGATGCCGTTCTTCAGTGTCTCCTGGAGAAGAGTCACATGGACAGGTAGGGGTCTGGTCCAGCCTGGGAGACCACAAGGGTGAGAACTGTGTTTGGACTTTCTGCTTGTGATGGGGATCTGGATGGGAGCCTAGAGGCTGACCCAGGGAGAAGGTGTTTCCTGGGGGAGACTACTCAATATCGTCACGCTCTGGGCCCTTGGTACCCCAAGTCAGTAGTGCTGTTTTGCTCCCAGGGAACGTCTGGATGAAGACGCTGGGAAAACGCCCTCGGACACACACAACAAGTAAGGGGTTCTGATGGGGTTTGGACCTGAGAGTTTGGTTAGGTAACTTTTCCCTCCTGAGTCCTAACCATCTTATATGGACAGAGACACCTGTGGCATGAGTGGCTAACACCTTGTTTCGGGGATACAAGGCACCAGTAAACCCCAGGGTGTCCATTTTTGTTTGTTTTCAGTGCTAGGGTTGAAGCCCGGGGCTTTTTCCTCTCTGTGCAAATGCTCTATTACTGAACCCCATCGCCTCTGCCTTGGGGTGTGGGTGTTGAGCGGGTGCTCATTAAAGGCTCCGCCTGCTGATGCCCTGTCTCTCCCTGCAGGGATTGCTCCATCGCTGCCACTGGCAAAAGGTAAGGTGGCGGTGTCCCCAGCCCACCCTAAGGTCCCCGGTCCCCGCTCCAGGCCTGACACTCACCTTCACCACACAGGCCATCTGCCCGCTTCCCCCACCAGCGGAGGAAGAAGAGGAGGGAGATGGACGATGGGCTGTCTGAGGGGGGTCCTCAGAGATCCAGTGAGTAGGCAGGGGCCCGAGAGGGTGGGCATGGAGCCAGGGACTAAATAAGGGTGCTCATTTATGTCCCACCTCACCACCCCAGACACATATGTGATCAAGCTGTTTGACCGGAGTGTGGATTTGGCCCAGTTCAGTGAGAACACACCATTGTACCCCATCTGCCGTGCCTGGATGCGCAACAGTCCCTCAGTGCGAGAGCGTGAGCGGTCACCCAGCTCACCACTGCCCCCTCTGCCTGAGGATGAGGAGGTGGGATGAGTGTTGGGTCCTGACCCAGAGGCCAGAGAGAGCAGTGGGTGGCTAGGCTCAAGAACCCCCCTCCGTCAGTGGTAGATAGGTATGATCTCGGCCCCCAAATGTATAGAGAGTCAGGCAGGGACACAGCTCTGTGCCGTTAGGCTAGGAACGTGGACAGAGGTCCTTAGGCCAGATAGATATGGCTTCCTAGGGAACAGGGATTCCAAGAAATAAAAGGCTAAACAGGGATCTTTAGTGCAAACAGATGTGGCTACCAGATGGGGCCTTGGTGAGCAAATGTGGACCCTGTGAGCTGGGTGGAGGGTAATGGGGGTTTGGAAGTCATCTGGCCTAAGAGGGTAGACAGGGATCTCTGGGGCAGACATATGACTTGACTCTGTCCAGATAAAAGTAGATGTGGCACCCCCTGGACAATTCCTTAAGGCAGGCATCTTGACCCCCACCTTGGGCTGACAGGTAGAGATGGAATTCCATGGGCTTGCTAAGGGTAGCCCAGGGTTCTCAGGCTGACGAGAAGACTCGGTCCCTAGAACAGGAAGACCATCCTCTAGCTGGTGAAAGTATGTGTCCCTCTGCTGTGACTCTTGCAAGTACAGGTTTCTGGGCAGACCCTCGTGTCCGTGTCACTGGGAAAAGTAGGAGGGATGACATGTACTTTCAACCCTCTGCTCTGACTCTTGGGCCTCATAATGGGGCTTCGTCTCCCTAGGGTTCAGAGGTCATCAACAGCAAAAGTCGTGATGTGTACAAGCTGCCTCCACCCACAGCCCCTGGACCACTTGGAGATGCCTGCAGATCCCGAATTCCATCCCCACTGCAGCCTGAGACCCAGGGTACCCCTGACGATGAAGTAGGTATCCAAGGCTGGCCTGGAGCTTCAGGGCCTATGTTGGGGGTTAGGGCCTGGCCCCCTAGCTGGGTCTCTCTGTCCATGCAGCCCTCCGAGCCTGAACCTTCTCCTTCCACGCTCATCTATCGCAACATGCAGCGCTGGAAACGCATCCGCCAGAGGTGAGCATACCCTTGTCCCTGTTTCCTGCCCCCGTGTCCTCTGCGGCGATTGCTAAATCCTCCTTTACCTTCCTAGATGGAAGGAGGCATCTCATCGGAACCAGCTTCGTTACTCAGAAAGTATGAAGATCCTGCGGGAGATGTATGATCGACAGTGATGGTCCCAGTTCCCCCACCCCAATAAACCTGCCCCCAACCCACACTGGCCAGCCCATCCTTCCTGGCCCAGACATGAGGCAGTTGACAATCTCTAGCACATTTATTGGGGACTGAATATAGGAAGGGAATGAGGTGACAGGGGATGAAGGTGTGGCTGGTCTGACAGGGGAAGTGGAGGTGGTGCCCAGGATATCTGGCTGCAGATGGGGAGTCAGGACAAAGGAACTCGGGCTCTGGCTCATTGGCCTGTCACATCTGGGGAAGTTGAGGTGTCTGTACAATTTGAGTTTGGGGGTCCTGATTGGTTGGGAATAGCCGTCCAAGGATTGGGAGGTCAGAACAGGATTCAGGAACTTAGGCTCCTGGAGTTTCGAGTTTAAAATGGCCTGGGGCAGGGGAGTGTTAGGTTGCAGGGACAGGATCTAGAGTCTGGTGGACCAGGCCTGAATGTTCTGATGAGGAAGGCCTACGCGGTCAGTCAGACTGGGTAGCCCACGGGTCACTGTGGGGAATTGGGTGACAGGTCTGGAGTGGGGGAGGCCTGTCCTCATTGTACTCTGGTGTCGCAGTGCGGTGCTTTACAACTTAGAAGTGCAAGAGGAGGCCTGAGTGGTGGCATAAGCCCCAAATGGGGTCAGTCAGTGGGAGTCTGGGCAGAGGGCGGGATGGTGTTGGTGTTGTCTGAGAGAGGTACTATGGGTGGGGCCTGAAAGCTGGTGGGCGGGAGGTTAGGAGGGTGCCTAGGTTACCTAAGGCCCAGGTAGGGTTTGGGGTGGAAAGGTCCTAGGGGAAGGGGGGAGGACACTAGATTTGGTTGGGAGGAACTGTCTTGACAGCGATTGGGACATCTGGCTGGGCGGCGGAGTCAGATCGGCTTTTAAAAGGGAGCCTCAAGAGGCTTCCCAGGTTCGGTCCTGTCATGCCCGGACCCCTACTTGGCAGCAGGTGGCGGTGGAAGTGGGGCCTGGGCCGCTGCTGGTGTGGCCTGGATGGACAGGACACCCTCAGGGGACAGTGCCGAGGTCACGGCAGCAGGGTCCACGCCGGCAGGCAGGCGGTAGCGGCGGTGGAACTCTCGAGCAATGAATCCATGTTCATCCTGGACAAGAAAAATGGGCTTGAGCGTCCCACCCTCCTGCCCAGCCCTGCCGCCCCATCGGGCCCGCTGGCCTACCGGGCGCTCCTCATGCCGTGCGTGGACCTCCACATGGTCGCCGACCACCTTGACAGAGATTTCCTCTGGTGAGAAGTGCTTCACATCCAGCAGCACGGAAAAATACCCAGGCTCCGTGGGCACCTGCACACATCAGGTGTGGGTGTGGGACTTTCATCAGGTCGGGGCTGGGCTTCTGGGACTCAGCACCCCCTTCCCCATGTAGGTTCCAGTGCTGCTGAGGACAGTCCCCTTCCCGAGTCACCAGAGCCTCAGCCTCACATAAATAACTGGCCGCCTCCCTCCCCTGGTAGACACAGTCCACCTCTCCTGGGCTTCCTGGGTGACCAAGTTAGGTACCCGACCTGTATCCCCACCCCATGTCATTGCCTCCACAGCAGCCTCGTCTCCGCTACGAGACCTCACACTAGCAAACAAGACGTCACTTCCCCGTCGCCAGAGTTCTCAGGTCATGGGACCTCCTGTACCCTCTGCATTTATGGATACCCTTCCCCTGCTTTAAAGTGCTCAAGACCCCCTTCATCAAATCGCCCGACCTTTCTGGGAAACGCAGCATCACATGCACAACCTTCAGGGCATTCCAACCCTACAGGACTCACTGTCCTTTCCCCCAGATTCCCGGGGCACCTGCCTCCTTCAGTCATCAAGACTCCTCAGATAGTGATCTAGTCCTTCCGCCCTCACCCCTCAGGGCAACAATAACCCGGCCTCAGAACACCCACATTCAGAGGACCCCCAATGGCCCACTAAAGCGTGGCATTCTCCCCCAAACTCAAAATCAACAGACATTCCCGCACCCCCACCCCAGGGCGAACCAGACCGCTAGTCTTGTTTGTAGTTGGGTGTCCCTCTCCCCAGGCCTGGCACCTGTGCTGTGGGCAGTGCCACACTGGGGGCGCGCAGATAGTAGGGGGCGATCGCGGCAGGACACAGTGAAGCCAGCTCCGCCTCAAGCAGGCCCTCGCCGAAACGCTGGTCAAAGAGGCGTCCCGGAGCGGAAAAGCCGGGTAAAGGAGCTGAAGCGCGGCGCAGCCAAGAAGGCTGCACAGGCACGGGGATCTCCATTCTGCTCTCCGCTGCAGCCCGGGCTCCGAGTGCCCAAGCGCACGCACTCCCCGATTTATACTGTGCCCAGTGCGGCCCCCGCGGCGGGCCTCCCAGGGACACTGGGATGGAGGCCAGACTCGGCCATTAGTATGCCTTATTTAGAAACTTCAATAATGACTTGGCTAGTTATTAAACGCCTGCTGGATGCCTGGAAAAGGACACCAGGGAACTGTCATTCTCCATTTCTAGAAGGGGAAGCTAAGACTTAGGAGGCAGACCCTTAGGGGTGTGGCGAACCACTATGGCAGTTGGGAACCCGGGCCCCGAGAAGTCCACCTAAGAGTTCTCAGGCCTCTTAACATCTCTGCCGGGCTGGCAGGTCTGAGGATGACGCACCAGTCTTATTAACAGATTCCTGGAGAATGCTGCAGCCACGCCAGGCTGTCAGGAGGACACAGAACAGACCCTACCCCAGAGCAGGTCGGGCCTAATTCTGTGCCTCTGACTCAGCCTCGGGTGCTCAGCGACCAGGGGCGGGAGCAGGAACACTCCAGGTTGGCCCCGAGGGGCTGCGCGCAGGGGCCAGAAATAGCTCGTTTTGATCCCACTGCTTGGGCCAGGAGCCCGGGCCTGGCACGGAGTGAGACCAGCTGCTCAGCAGCAAGAGGAAAGTGGTTACGGTGACCATCAGGATAGGTTTGCCGGCCCAACAGACAGAAGGGTGGCAAAGTGAAGAGAGACGCCCCCGGTTAGCCCGGCAACAGTAGTTAGGCTGGAGCCAGGCCTCCCCGCTGCAGTTCTGGCGGTTAGAAAAAGGGGACTGTGAAAGCCAACACGCTTGGCTCTCTTTCAAGCTTCAGCGCAGCCTCCGATCCTTTCAATTGGTCCACAGTCTTGCCAATTACTGCTGCACGCTCCCCCGTCTCCAATCAAACCCGCGCTCTCAGCAGCTTTGCAGCCGGTCACGAGGGAACGCCCCCTTTCCCGTTACTTTTATTTTCTAGTTTATCATTGGTCATCTCGGAGGTCCCCGCCCCAAAGAGGGCGGAGCTGACAGCGTTCCTAAGCGAGGAGGGTAGGCGTCGGGCTGTCCCGCGAAGGGGTTCAGCTGGCACTGACGCTGAGGTAAATGCGGGACGGACTGCAGGTGAAGTTGGTCCCTCTCTCTGAGATCACAGAAAGCCCGGGGAAGGCAACATGGGTTTGCTAGAGCCTGGGGTCTCCGGCCCAACCGTACTGGAACTACAACTCCCAAGATGCTACGCAGGTTTGGGCGCTCCAGCCGTAAACTTCCCCATCTCATGACTTTTGTTCTCTCTGGGTGGCCCTAAGGGAGTCCAAAAGAAACTTGACATTGAGTCTGTTGGTTTCCAAATTTACCCAGACATCCATGTGTGTTGTCTTTGAACTTTCTCTCTTAGGAGGGGCCCGGTGAATCATGGGGATTGTAGTCCATGTACCCCGTCCCTCATTGGGTGTTGTGCCTCCACATACCCCTCCCCTTAACAGGTTTAACCGGAAACGTATTGTGTACGGTTTAGTCTGGTTCTTTGTTGTTGTTTTATTTTTGTCTATTTCTCTTTTGTTGTTTTCGTTCTTCTTTTTCCATTTGTGTCTTTTTTAATTACTTTTTTTATTTGTTTGTTTTTCGAGACAAGGTTTCTCTGTGTAGCTCTGGCTGCCTTGGAACTCACTCTGCAGTCCCGGCTGGCTTTGAACCCAGAGATCCTCTTGCCTCTGCCTCCTGAGTTCTGGGGTTAAAGGCGTGCTCCACCACGCCTGGCTAAGGAATTACTTGTTTTTTAGTCGTGGTCTTAATTGGAACTCATGAAATGGGCTTCATGGAAAATGTTTAAAGAGATGGAAATTAATTACCTTGATTTGATCGTAACACATTGTATATATGCATTGAAATATCATACTGTACCTCATAAACGTGTACAATTTACATGTGTCAGTTAAAAAAATACAAAACAATACAACACAACAGACTATATTTTACCTGGATGGGGCTGGAGAAAGGGCTCGGAGTTTGGGAGCAGAGGTTGATCTTCCAGAGGCCCGAGGTTCGATTCTCAGCACCTGCATGGCTGTTTTCATTCATCTGTAATGTGCTGATTCCAGGGGATTCGACACTCTGCTGGCCTTCGAGGGCACTGCACACACGTAGTGCACAGATACGTGTAGGCATAACAGCCATATGCACAAAAATAAATAAATCTTTAATTGCCTGGATGGTGTGAAGAAGATGCAGTGTCTAGCCTGTTTGCTGACACTGATTCTGTTAGCCGGGAGTGAAAACCATAAAGCTATAACATGTTATTCTTTGTTTGTTTGGTTTTTGTGGGTTTTTTTTTTTTTTGTTGTTGTTGTTTGTTTGTTTGTTTTTTGGTTTTTTTGAGACAGGGTTTCTCTGTGTGGCTTGAAGCCTTTCCTGGAACTCACTCTGAAGCCCAGGCAGGCCTCGAACTCACAGAGATCCTTCTGCCTCTGCCTCCCAAATGCTGGGATTAAAGGCGACTGCACCTGGCCGGCCCGGCCCGGCATAACATGTTATTCTTGCTTTGAGACAAGATCTCTCTATGTAGCCTTTGTGTGTGAGTGCATCTGTTTCTGTGTGTAAGTGTGGGTGCATCATGTGGAAATCAGACAACCTCAGGTGTCTGTCCTTACCTTTCACCTTGCCTGTCATCCTCCTCTTCCCCTCGCCACCCCCAACCCCATCCCCTCCACTCCCCAGCTGAGGACCGAACCCAGGGCATTGTGATTGCTAGGCAGATGCCAACTCTGTCTTTCACCTTGTCGAGACAGGGTCTCTTTGATGTTCACCTTTGAGCACTCCAGGCCCGCAAGCTTTTGGGGGACTCTCTGGTGCCCACCTCCCACCTCAGCGTAGGAGTACTCAGATTGCAGACTTGTGCTAGTACATCTGGCTGTACATGGGTTCTCTGGATTTGAACTCGGGTCCACATGTTCTTTACTCACTGAGCCAGCTCCCCCGCCTCTGGTCTGGAACTTTGGATCCTCCTGCCCCAGCCACTTGAGTGCTGGGATTGCAGGCGAACGTCATGTATCTGGCACGAGTGCATGATTTTGAAAGGCCTCTCCTAAAGCATCTGTAATTCTAGCACTCAAGAGGTTGAGGCAGGAGGATCATTTCAAGTGCAAAGCTAACCATGGCTACAGAGTGAGACCCTGTCTTAAAAATAAATAAATAATAAAAGCTCCTCCTAGGCCTGATCCAGAGTGGAGAACTACCAATTACCAGTTTCTAGGTTCTCCTCAGTCTCTTTCAAGAGGTCATGGGAATCATGCCTCTACTCACGTTGCCTTGACTACAGAGTGATGATTCGTGGCAGCTGTAGTCCATCTCCTCCAGCAATCCGTGGGGATTGTCAGCTTCTGTCCTCCTCTTAACATGCTGTGCTTCTTTCGTAGCCTGTCAGTTTTCACTATCCAAGACACCTTTGGAAATGTTCCCCAGGGTGGACAACACTATTAGCCATCAAGAAGCCAAAGCTGGAGCCCCAAGGTGAGGACACCTTGAGCTTTAGGTAAAGTTCTGTGCCTTAGACTTATAGCAGGAAATGACCACTAGAAGGTATGAAGTCATGTGATGAGAATGGGGATGAGAGAGTATGAGAAATCCCCTACCCCACTGCTGGTGCCCATCCCATTTCCAGCTCTCTACCAGCTGCATCCCGACCACAGACCCCCTTACCTTCCACTGGTAACAGTGTGGGCGGCTTCTCTTTTGGACTACCTGTATGTTTTTCATTGCCCACGGGGGTCACCCTCTGGTCTGACTTTTTCTTCTTGTCTTTTCTCCCAATTTAAATCCCGGGTCTATTCAGGTCTGAAAGGCCACAAGCTCCCAAGGCCACAGCAACCGATTCCCCTGAGCTGTCGGAGGCGTCCTGGCCGTCCAGTTCCGGGACCCCTTCCCCACTCAGCACTGAGGGACCAAGTGCCTCTCCACCACTCACCGTAATTGACAGCGGGGACTCGGTGGTAGCCAAGTAAGTACCAGAATCCCTGGGGGGCGGGGGGGGGGCGGAGATAAGGGGTTAAAGGGAGGAAGAAGGCATCCCATAATAACTATCAGAGACAGAGCTGTTTCTGCAGTACTCTTTAGGACCAGGCACTTCATGTGTGTACTGAGGGGTCTGGAGCTACACTGCCTGGGTTCAAATCCTGCCTCTGTTAACTTCTTGTCTGTATTGCTTTGGTCTCAACTTCCTTGAGTTGGGAATATTAATCTTGCACTGAGCCTGTCTTGAATCCACAGTTCCTCTGTATAATGATCTATAAGAACACCCAACATAGTGAGTACTTGGATCTGAAAGATGGAGGTTCAGATTCCGTCACAAAGGTCCTAGATTAATTACGGCTTAACCATGGTAACATTTATTTCTCCCATATTTAGAAGCGACCAGGGCTGACATTGCAGCCCCTATTTAAGGTGTTAGGAACATAGGTTCTGTCTGTCTTATTGTTGTCCTTTCCTTCATAGGTCAGAAATGGTTCTCACTGGCATTACTTTTCCAGAATCATACTCCCTTATTCTTTGTTGGTCAAGAACCAATCTGGCTGGCGATGTTAGAGTGCCTGTCTAGTGTGCACAGTGCCCTTGGTTTGGTCCCTAAAGCCACATTAAATCAGGCAGAGTGATGTGTGCCTATAGAAGGTAGAGGCAGAAGGTTCAGAAGTTCAAGGTCACTCTCAGCTACATAGTGAGTTCAAAACCAGCCTAAGCTAAATGATACCTTGTGTAAAAGCAAAGAAAGAAACACACAGGAAACAAGGGGCCAACAGGATGGTTCAGTGGGTAGAAGCACTTGCTACAAAGCCTGCAGCTGGCTACACAGTTGTCTTCTGTGATGTGTGTGCTACCCTATACACGTCAAGTGTGGAAAAGCACGCATACAGCCCGACAGCCCAGCACTCGGGAGGCAGAGGCAGTGCATCTCTGCACTTGTGGCCAGCCTGGCCTACAGAGCAAGTTCTAGGACAGCCAGGGGGCTGTTATACAGAGAAACCCTGTCTCAAAAAAAGAAAAAACAAACAAAAAATTAAAATTGGGCTGGCTATATGACTCAGTGGATAAAGGCGCTTGCCACCAAGCCTGACAGCTTGAGGTCAATCCCTGGGACCCACTTCCACATGTGCACTGTAGCATGCCTGCTCAAGTGTGCACCCATGCCTGTCTGCGCGTGCGTGCATGCGTGCGTGCGTGCGTGTTGTGTGTACACAGAAATAAAATGTAAAAAAACTCAAAATTACATTACTATATAAGAAAGAGAAATGGATATTTAAGGATAAGTACTTGCTTTTGGTAGATTTGAAGAAAGCAGTTATTTGTTTGTTTGTTTTTGTTTTTTCAAGACAAGGTTTCTCTGTGTAGTCCTGGCTCTCCTAAACTCATTCTGTCAACCAGGCTGGCCTCAAACTCAGAGATCTGTCTGCCTCTCCCTACCCCACTCTCATCCCCTAGTGTTGGGATTAAAGGCCAGTGCCACCACAGCTGGCGAAGGAGTTATTTTCATCTGGGCCACTGAGCACGACTTTCCCTGGTGCCTGATAAACAGAAGAACGAGCAATGGCTACTGCTGTTGTGGTAATCACTATTACTCCCTCTGCTTCTCATCCCCCGATGCTCACAGGTACATAAACAGGTTCCGCCAAGCTCAGCCCACAAGCCGAGAGGAGCGCCAGCCTGCAGGCCCGACCCCAGCTGACTTTTGGTGGCTAAAGCCCAAGTCATCAGACTTGAGCAGTTACCTCGCAGCAGGTACCTAAAACCTCTCCTGCTCAGTACCCAGTACTCAGTACCCTGCTCTTCCTGGTCCCCCGTGATTCAGCTGAGCTTTCCCAGCAGGAGCCGGTGAACCTGAAGGAGGATCCGCTATGACGGGTCCATCTCCCGCGGGGATGTGCAGTGCATCTCTGGCTTCAGCTCCTCTTCAGAAAGTAAAGCAGGTGACACTGTTACTGTCTCCCTCTCTGGTGTGCCTGAGTTGACAGCAGCAGCCCTGGCACAGAGTTAGAGACAATGACCAACTTAAGGAATCATCAAGAAAAAAGGGTGTGTGGGCATGGAGATGTGTGTGCATGGAGATGTGTGGGCATGGAGATGTTGCTCATTTGGGAAAGTGCTTGCCTAGCAGGTAGAAAGTCCAGCACCAAATAGAAGCAGGCCTGGTAGCACACAGTCGGGGTCCCGGCACCTAGGAGATGAAGGCAGGAGGGTCAGAAGTTCAAGGTCACCCTCAGCTGTATGAGGAGTTTGAGGCTGCCCTAGGCTATATGATATCCTATCTCAAAAAAAATAATAAAATAAAGTTTAACAAAAGGATTTGCTAGTTAAATGCAGTTTTGAACTCTAAAAGTAGATGTGCATGCATATTCATTATGTTCCTGTTCCTTTGACCAAAACACTTGACAGAGGCCAGGGAGGATAGGTATTGTTGGCTCAGTTTCAGCAGTTCAGTCCAGCATGGCAGGAGTGTGTGGTGGGAGTTGATCCTCTGCAAGAGCAGTCAGTTATCTCTGTCTTTCATTCACTCACCTTTGAGTTAATCACTGAACTGTTTGGTAGGATGATTTGATTAGGCAAGTCTGGTCAGGGAGATAGGTTCAATCTTTCCTTTTACATTTTGTTTTTGTTCCTGTCCTGGATCTCGCTCTGTAGACCAGGCTGGCCTCGAACTCACAGAGATCCACCTGGCTCTGCCTCTTGGGTGCTGGAATTAAAGGCGTGAGCCACCTCTGCCCGGCCTGTCCCCTTTTTAAATTTTAAATTTTAAATGTAGTGTGTGTCTGTATGTCTGTGTTTGAGCCTCTCTCTCTCTCTCTCTCTCTCTCTCTCTCTCTCTCTCTCTCTCTCTCTCTCTCTGTGTGTGTGTGTGTGTGTGTGTGTGTGTGTGTGTGT